ATTAAGTATTTAAAGAAGTGTTCAGAATTCAGGATTTTCAATTAATTGAAGAGAAAGATTCAGAGATATACATATACAAAGTAATTATTCACAGAAGTTATCAGATGAGAGTTGTGAAATCAGAGTACTGATATATGATTATTTTCACATGATTTTCTTCAAATTAGAAAGTTAGTATTATCAAAAATCATTATCTGATAGAGCAACTTATCAGCTGAGTAGTAATTTTCTAATTATTTTTCTTTTATTATCTACATTCTGATAACTTCAGATGTCAGAAAATTTCTTCAGAGTTATAATCAGTTTATAATGAATATTTCTGAATGAAGTTGTAGTAATTGTAGTAGAGAGATGACTCTTCAGTAATCTACAATGCAATCTATTGATAATTATTTCATAGTTTATCTTGATATTTATGTTGAGTTTTTCATAAATTTTGTGATCTGGAATCAGATGTGAAGAATGAAGTGATTATTCATTATAATTAAAAGAGAGTATTCTGTGTTGAATTGTAAATAACATAGATTTTGTAATTCACAGTGATTTCTTAAAGAGTTTGTAAATCTTCAATAGAAGTAAAAGAAGTGAAAGAAGTGAATTCAGAAGATATGATAATAATTTAAGAAAGATGATAATTTATTTTCAATAACTGATCACTGATGTGTGTAAGAAGAATTAATATAAGAGAAAATAATCTTATTTCTTAACTTAGTTATAATTTTAGTACTAACTCAGATTGAATATCATTGATATATAAAAGTAAATAAACAATCTTGATTAATCTCTGTCATATTTCTTGAAATATATTAATATTGTGAAAGAGAGTGTTATCAAATTACATTATCAGATAATATCATTAAAAATATATTAATATTGTAAATATCAATGTTGAAAAAATGTTGATACTTATACATTATAGTGATTTATGAATCATGATAGTTAAATATATATATATATATATCATTCCTGACTTGATTACAACTTGTACAGTAATTTTTGAAAACTCAAAATCAATTTTAATTATTAATAATTAAAAACTTAAACTTATAACTAACTAATATAAAAAGAAAAAAATCTATTTCTTCTCTTTCTCATTCTTCTTATTATTCTTTATAATTTACTTCTCATTCTTCTTCTTCTTCTTCTCCTCCTCATCTGAGATGATAATCACCTCAAAATCTCTCTTCACTATCTTCTCAGAGAAGGGTTTTTACTGCTCTCTCTCAGCCAGCTCAATCTGTGTCTCAAAATCTCACATTTTCTGATCTGCTGTCTCGGGTTCCATCTCAGCAGTAAGCAGATTGACATGCTTAGAGAGTAGAGCTGTCTTCTCAATATTCTGAATCATGAAGTGCATTCAAGACCTGAATAAGATCTCAATTCTCTTCTTCTCTGTCAGCTTCTGCTAATCAATTAGAGAATAGAAGTATTATCAAAAATCATTATCTCTTAATAAATAAAAAACTTATCAGTTTTGACTTCTTTATCTTCTACTTTAACACTCTCTCAATCTTCTTCTATTATTACTTATTTACAGTAACACTCTTCTTCTCTCTTTCTCTCTTCATCTTAGACTTAAATTATTCTCAGAACTTCTTCTAATCTTACTGCTACTGTATGAGACTCTTCACTGTCTTCTTTTTCAATCTCTCACAGACAGTGTCATCTGCATTATTTCTATACTTAGTTCAGTCTAAATCTATCAGAAGTGTTACTTAAAATCATTATCATTCTACTCTCTTATAAAGTCTCTTCAAGATATTATAATATACCTTACAATCTGTCTTCTCTCACTTGAATGTCTTCTTCTTCTCTTTCTTCAATCTGTAATAGTACTCACACACCTTGATGATCTGCAGAACCGCAGAATATTTGAAGAGAGATAACATAATTAATTTCAGTGAGTGTTGAAGAAGAGTGAAGGCAGAAGAGACAGTCAGAAATGATATAATAATAGTAATAATAATGATGATGATAATAATGATAGTGATAATGTTAATAATAATGATGATAATAATAGTGATAATGATGATGATAATGATAATGATAATGATAATGAAAGAAGAAGTGCATTGAAATATATTACTAACTTATCAAATATAAAGAGATAAAGAAAATATTAACAGCTTTCAGAGATATACAGAAACAGCTACAGTGTTATATAGCAATATCATCTTCATTCAATGTATACAGTGTTGATATTCTTTGTATGCAGTTATTATATAATCTATATCAGAGATACATGCAGAAAACAGATCTTTATTACTAGAGAGAATAATTGCAGTGATTCTCTATTTTCATATTATAAAGATAAGTTATTCTTATTTCTTTCTTCTCTCTTTTCTCTTCTTCTTCAATTCATCACTAAGTTCAAGCTGATATGAAAACTATTAAAACACTTTTAGAAACTCTCAAATTGAAGAGTATAGACTAATCAAATTTTAAATGCAGAAGAATTAAATTATATTCAATATTACTAATTATTCATTCTCTTTTAATAAAATCACAGTCATGTCTTCTCTTTTCTCTCTCTCAAATAAAACATAGCCTGTAAAAAGCAAGTATCATACCAGGCTATAATAATCAACACAGCCTCAGCACACAGAACTGTATATACACAGTACATACTGAACTGAGAGACTGTATAAGTTACAAATCAGCATCAGCATCTCAGAGAGAGCTGTGCAGTGTGAAAAAGCTACAACTCTCAGTTATATATACAGAGAGTGAATCATTGCAGTAAGTGTATATACATTGCATGAAAGTAATACTTTTTGATAACACTCAGTCTCTGATATTATGAAAATAGAGTCTCTCTGTGAGATCTGTTTTTATCAGAAGTTAGAGAATCTTATATTTCTCAAGACTATCTTTATCTGTCTTATTCATGAAATTGATAAGAAGAATTATTAATTTCAGTGTTCTGTTCTTAATATTATTCAAGTAATAGCAGAGTTCATTCTGATCATACTTTTTAAGTGTATGTTTTCTAAATATTCACATTTATACAGATATATACTGATTATTTATTAGATGATATTAAGATAATAACTTATTACAGCTGTGTTACTCTTACTATGAGAGATACATAGTTGATAATAAATATTATAAAGACTCTGAGAAGTGAGTATTTTAAGAATACTGTGACTCTACAATCTTGATTTTTTTTATTTTTATTTTTTATTTTTTTCTTTTTCTTTTTTTTTTTATTTTTTTTTTCTTTCTCTTTTTTTTTTTTTTTTTTTTTATTCATTCTGATTTTTTCTTATTTTTGTTTTATTTTTTATTTTTTGTTTTTTTTTTTTATATTTTATATTTTTTTTATAATTAAAATTATATAAATTATGATCTGTGTTCAGAAAAGTAATGATATTTGATAATATTCTCTATTGAATTTTCAACAAATGAGTACTATATTATGATATTATGTAAGTGAGAAGTGATTTCATAATCTCATTTAATGTCATTCTCAATAATGAGATTAGAATGAAAATATGACTAAGAATTCAAATATATTCTTTATCTGAGACTAGATTTTATTTGAAAAGTGAATCTGAGATCTTTAATATTTAAAATAATGTGATTTGAGATCAATGTAATGAACATAAATTATGATCAGAAGTAATGCTTTTAGATAATATGACAACTGTAAAGTTTGATTCTGATCTCAGACACAGTCACACGGTCAGTCTATATAGTACTACTACTTTATAAGTATAAGAAGTATTAATAAACTGAGAATCTCAGATTACTATAATGTCTCTAAAGCTCACAGAGTGAATAAGTTAAATAATAAAAACTGAGAATTTATTCTTATAATAAGCAGAGTATAAGAACTCAGATCTGAGAACTGAGAAATTTATAAAAGTTATTTTTAAATTATAAGATCTCTTCAGAAGTTGAAGAAGATTTACAGAAACTATAATTATCACAGATATTGTAGATAATATATACTTAAGACTTATATAACTTTAAAGATATAATTTATATATAGCTGTCTATAAGTTAGATTTATACTTTCAATCAATATAATAATTTTGAATTATTTTATACTATAAGTCTTGATATTTATAGATTACAAATTAAAAAATTAAAATAATGAATATTTATTGAGATATTAACATTTAAAGTTGATTGTAATTGATTTACAAAGGCGAGCGTTAGGTGGAAACGAGCGTTAGGTGGTTGATTACGTTACATACTACGTATAACTCTTCCGTCCGGAGTACCAACTAAATAGCGAGTCGGCAACCCTTCGGCGCTGCAACCAGGCCCCGCTGCCAAGAGCGGGGTGGCCCACGCGGAGTGGGTGTCGCAAATCGGCGCAGGACTTGGCACCTGGGCAGGACCACTCGGACCCCTTGATTCCAGTTGCAGCTGAATGAACGGCGCGGTGGCACACGGGGGATGGAGGGGTGATTGTTGGGGGTTTGAAACCTAGTCTGAGGGTGCGAATAATAGGAGACTATAACAATAGACAGTTGAGACACAGCCCATCCCCGAGGCGGTGGGCGAAGGGGCCAGCACCGACTCGGGGAATTTTCATCACTTGGGCCCAAAGCTCAGTGGGTACATGTCCCTTGTACGGAGTACTCGGTACTATGGACAGATTGGCAGGTGAAGCCTTGAACCCATGGCAGGCGTAGTTACCTTGGCCAGAAGATGGATGTCATTTTTCCATTCTTCCGCTGTCCGCGCTTGCTCATTATTCGTGATTCTCGTCGCCAAGTTTTTCCACCCCTTTAGTATTTACAGTGTACAGACTCAAACTGCTCTCACCAATATCAGAGGATCCACCCCCCCCTTCTGCTGTTGAGAATCGTCGTTCGTCTTGCCCGCCACTTCACATTATTCTTCATCCCCCCCCTCCCTCTTCCACTGCCTCTTGTCTGCAGCCCTCGAGAAAAAATTGTCGGTTTGCTCTTCCTCACTTGTGCCTTCATGAGACCCCAAAAGACTCTCGTTGTATCGCGTCCTCTTCCCTCTACACCAGGCTCATCATGGCTTTGGTCCAATACCTTAAGAGGGTTGTCGCCTGGATCGCTCCTCCACCAACAAAATCCGCGGATGGTCGCGATCAATGGCCCTCACGCGCGGCTTTTCTTCTCGCTGCCATGGGGGGTTGCGCTGGTCAAGGGAACCTGCTGCGGTATCCTTCCGTGGTTTACAGCAACTACGGAGTTCAGTGGTTCATTCCCTACCTGATCGCCGTTATTGTCATCGCTATCCCCGCCCTCATTCTTGAAATATCTATCGGCCAGGCCTACCGTGGTGGAAGTGTCATCGCTTTCAACAATGTTCACAGGCGACTGAAAGGCGTAGGCTTGGGTCCCATCATTGTCAGTTTCTTGGTCACCCAATATTTCACAGTCAACCTAGCGTGGATTATGAACTATTTCCGCAACTCCTTCGTTAGCCCCTTGCCTTGGGAGGGCAAAATTGAAGGGTTCTACCATCGGGATGTGGTCCAGAATATAGATCCAATCCCTGGCAGTCTAACGGTTGGAAATCGCGCGGTTGCTACCTATACCCAGTATCCCGGGGTTCGTCTCATTGGCGAAACTGTTGGTTGGAGTGTTTTTATCTGGTTCCTGGTTTGGTTGTCAATCTTCCGTGGTGTGGGCCTGACCGGCCGGGTTGTCTACTGGACAATGGGACTGCCGATTGTCACCACGATTATTCTAGTGGGCCGCTCCTGTTCCCTTGAGAATGCCGTTGAAGGTGTCAAACTCCTTTGGGCTACATGGAGGGGGGCCCAGCTAGCAACACCAAAAGTCTGGCAAATAGCCGTGGGGCAAGTCTTCTTTTCTACTGGCATCGGATTCGGGTACTTTACATCTTACGCCTCCTATAACGCAAAGTATTCAAACGCTGTGATGGATGCCGTCCTTATCTGCGGGAGCAATGTGCTTTTCGAGAACGTCGCGGCCTTCGCCATCTTCGGTGTTGTCGGTTACCTACGCCGTTGGCCGGATTCGAACGAGCAATTGGGCGCCTTTGTTGTGGGGTTCCTCACTCTCCCTGAAGCGGTACTTCACATGCCAGGTGCCAATTTCTGGGCGGTTCTCTTGTTTTTCACACTTGTCGTCCTGGGCTTTAGTTCAGCCTTCGTGATGCTGGATGCTTGCGCGACGCTCGCGGTTGACGCCGGAATAAAATATTCCCGCCCTGTCGTTGTTACGTTTCTCACCATACTATCATTCCTCATGTGTCTACCCTATTGTACAGAGTTTGGCTTCTATCTCCTCGATGGAATAGACAGGTGGATCAACAATGTGGTCTTGCTTTTTGTCGTTTGGTCTGAGCTGGTCAGTGCCACAGTTGTATACCGCTGGACTGATGTCACCTCCCAAACTGGACTGCCCGCCTTCGTGACTTACAACATCGGATATTTCGGCGGGCAGATTGTTGGCATCAGCGTTGCACATGCTCTTGAGAATCCAACTGCTGGTGCAATCGCTGGCTTTGGCCTATACATCTCCTCGATTCTCTCGGTTCTTCTCGCCAAGACGCCCGACATAAAAGCGCCCAGCTTTTGGCACAATAATATTTTCCTTGTGCGATTCTGGTATCTTGCTTTCTACTCTGTAAGCTGAAAATTCCATCATAGTGTCGCCGTTTTACATGCGTCAACAGAAAGATCTGACGCTTTCTTATCAGGGAAATCAACTCCGTCATGACCTTAACCTCGTTGTCAGCAGCCGCAAGGGCAATTGGCGAATCCCACGTTTCTGGCCCTTGTTGCTTCGATATATTAGCGCTCCTATCCTCGCGATAATCTTTAGCTTCGCTTATCCGCAATTCCACACGCTACGGTACGACCCACTGATGATTGCAGGCTTTATTTTGGCCCATATATGTCTCCTTGCAATACTATTAGGCTTCGTGATGCCAAGGTATTATGATATTTTTATCCCACCGCTTCGCAGAGCTGAAGGAACAGAGGAAACAGTTGCGAATGAGCCAAAGGTCAGGGATGATGATGTCATTGATCTACCAGCTATTGTCAGTGATCTTGTCGAGGATGGCTTTGGGAAATTAACCGAATCTAGCAAATAACCTCAGTCTCCGATGGCATGAAATTACAGTAACCCACGGAATACCTTACCGCGATTTCTAATTCTTCGGCTTTCTGACATCCTGAATCGCTTTTGCTGCTCTTGCTCTCAACCGTGGCTTTTTTCACTTCTTTTGCTGCTTCACTTTCTCTCGTTTCTTTTCGCCCTTTATAAAATCTAAGAACTTTTTCATCTATATACCACCATCACACCTACTGGCCTGAAATGGAAATCCGTTATCCATCTACTTAGTGGCTCTGGCTAAATCCGACTTGGAAGTACATGTACATGCGAAGCTTAATTTCCACCCAGCACACTGACCTAAGCTCACAGGTCCTGTGAGAGCTCATTGACGCAATTTCTTTAAAAGAGGGGGGACTATTTGCAAGGAGCAGTAACGCTTCCCCTCAATAGGTAGACGTTCTGAGTATTCTGCCTTTCGTTTAGATCAATAGCGTGTTGTTTTGGCTCACAAAAGCTTACCTACATCCACCCACGCATGTTGCCGATTTTGGGAGGATGAGAGACATGCTCTCCGTACCACAAACTGCCCACGATCGTATATCTTATTGGAGTCAGCGGTTTCATGTTGACGTTCTCACAGATGCTTAATTTTCAAAATGTCGTTTCAGAGGCTCTAGAAACGCTCGCGCCACCACTCACTCAGGCAGACAGTTAGATGCGATCTTTTTGCTAAGGAATTTGTTTTTCTCCGTTATGTTAGTTCGTGTCAGCCATGCACGAGGAATGTCGGTTCTTGAACTATATGCGCCTGTTGTCAACGCGGTCACCATACTCAGCGCGTGGCTCATGAGATAATCTGTCACTCTTCATTAAATCCACAGTACATGTGCAATGATGACTCTCATGTTCCAACACTCTATAACGTTAGCAGGAGAAACATTTGAAGAAGGGTGAGACGGAATGATATAAGAGGGAAATCATATAGTTAAGACGGAAGATGACCTCAGACATGGCATAGTGTCCAACCATGAAACGAAGCTGGTCTCGCTCCTTCCAGCTAAAGATCCCTCATCTTTTCTAGGATACCAGTCAAAAAAACTTATTTTCCATATCAATTCACTTTTTGCCCTTGTCTTTTCTATAATAACCAAGACGGTGTTGAATATTTACACCTTTATATTTGCTATTGGCACACTCTTTGTCATACCCAACGCGAATAATAATGGTGCAAGTACGTGGCGAAAAAATTTCGAGCGTTCAAGGGTCCCCAAAACTGACAGTCTTGACAAGATGATGTGGCAAATGCATGGGCAGCGAGTGCGTCCTCACGTTCCGTCTCATATAGGCAGGCAGTGGTTTTCGGCACCCTATACGAGATGCTCGGTGCCATCTGCTCGCTTTCACCTGTGCCCTTGCAGCCGCTTCTTCTTGGGTTATATGGTGCACACAGCACTCTGCTCATGTTTCCTCTTATCTGCTCCATCATCTCTGCTGTTGCTGGTGTTGTGGTCGCGACTGTCGGAGCGTCCGCTGTAAAGTGGTGCTGGAATAATGATACAGGCCTGGGCGCAATTTTCGCCAGTCTGGGAATCACGCCTGCCATTGCTGCTGGCTTTGCGGCGACCATCTTTATGTTCATCAGACTTGTTATGCATATCCGCAAAAACCCAGTACCATCGGCGGTCTACAGTTCACCGTTTTCCTTCCTTATTGCGGGGACCGTTTGTACCCTCCCTCTCTATCATCTACAAAGGGTTGTCAAATTTAGGTCTAAATAAGAAACGCCGAATGGTTTATTGCCGGAACTGAGCTGGACTCACCATTCTATCCGCAATATTTTTTGTTCCTTTTGTTCACGGAAAGGATATCAGGAGGGAGCACGGTATCAAATGGTGGATGTTTATTCTAGGGCCAACACCCTTGAATCGTCGAAGCCTTGCTACTGCGGACATGGCCAATGTTCCCAACTACCCGTCATTCAGGTGGATCCAGAGACACTGTCCTTCCTACCTCCTTGCTTACTTGAGTGTGATCCTTACACCACTGATGGTACCACAGCTCCCATCGAAGACAAAGCCCTAGCATCTAGCGAATCAGCACAACTCAGATACAAGGAGCTTATTGCTGATGGAGAAGACAAACTGCGTGCAAAAGCTCTTAACTAAGAGAGGTCCTTTAGCCGGGGAGATGCGAACAATCCTTGAGAATTCCCTAGGATCAGGATATATGAGGTTACCAATATCAAGGTCATGGCGGAGCTAATTCCTACCATAATTGTTTGTGGAACGCTCTATCGTAACTATCCACCACGATATTCACGCCGCTCAGACTGGTATTTTTCTGGTACACCCGAAGGCAAACGGATGAAGCGGGTCTATTCCCGCGCAAAAAAGTACCCTAACGAAGTGGAACATACCTACTACTTTGTTTAGGCCCTTACTGCTTGCACTGCATCCTTCGCACACGGAGCAAACGACATTGGAAACTCGGTTGGGCCCTGGGCCGTGATTTACTCTGCTTGGTCTACCGGGAATGCTGCTGCTTCCAAGGCTGCTATCCCTATATGGAAACTTGCAGTTTTGTCGTCATCCATTTCACTCGACCTCATTACCTATGGCTACAATCCCAGAAGGGTAACTAAGCAGAATTGATATATATTCTCTCACTGTTCCTCTAGCTAACATTTTCATGATTTACAACGTGATCAGTAACAAGATTGCGTATCAGAGGTATGTTTCCCCGCTTCTTAGATGTGCCATTGCATCTGTTAACTATCCTTGTTCCATTGTAGGCTGCTCTATGGAAAGGGATACGCCCTTACTGTTCCTGTCTTCTCACAGTTCTCACTTCCTGCATCTACGTCCGTGTATCACCGGTGCAACGGCACTCTCAAGGCGGTCAACTGGCAACAAGCCGGTCTACTCCTTCTCTCCTGGATTGTCACCATCCCCATCGCAAGCATTTTAGGCGATGTCCTCATGGACTTAGTTCTAGATGCCCCGCACTTCCTTCAGGGCATTCGGTGAAAATTGATGTTCACCCAGGTTAAGCTACTTATCACCTCCAGTCCTCAGTCCCTGTCGCATATCTGATCGGGAAGGAGAAGGGGGAGGGGGAGAGGGGCCGACATGCATGCACATGATGCCCCAAATAAAAGCTTCAAGTAGTATTCCCAGGGATCTCTTTTGTGATCGATAATATATATATATATATATATGTGTGTGTGTGTGTGTGTGTCTGTGTGTGCATATCACATTCATATCTAGACAACAGCTGAGTGTCACACCCTAAAATACATGAGTACATTCAGATGCATGTGGTAGGAACAGAATAAATAGTCCATGCCTGCCGCCTTTTTATGCCAACACACAACTCAAGAGGCTTTCTCAAAAAACCATCTCTTGTTTCCAATGGACCCTCTTGTTGAAGCTCAAAGTCGAAGTTCTTGAAAACTGTAGCAGCCATACACTGCAGCTCCATTTCCGCCACATTTCGCCCAACACAAGCCCGTGGTCCCGTGCTGAAAGGGATGAGTGCAGCTTTTTGTTCGCTGGTCAGACGAGCGGGATCCCATCGTGTTGGGACAAATTCCTCTGCGTCAGGTCCCCATATCCTTGTTGAGGGGTGGATTGTGTAGGAGGGAACGGAAAGGACGGTACCCGGGCGAAAGACACGGTCGTGAATCCTGATAGGCGATGCCCCTTCTGGGATCAGTCGAGGAAGGCCAAGAGAAGAAGTGCTGTGTATCTCCGAGATGACCCATGACAGGCTAATACTATCCATTAGTCCACTCTTGAACAGTGCTAAATATGGCTTGTAGAAAACGGAGCACGTACTATTGGATATCCTTCACCATTGAATATGGCGGGACCTTTACATCGCTCGGAATGACATTGTCAAGAATCTGTTGGAGCTTCTCCTTAAACCCAGGGGTCCTTAGAACCCAGTAAAGAATTGCACAAGCTGTGTTGGAGGTAGTGTCGGACCCCGCGATTAGCTGTGTCAATGCCTCTGCGGTGAGTTCTTCTCGTCCAAGTTTAGCGCCAGCCTCGTCACGTCCTTCCATTAGGCGTGCAAGCAGGTCCTCGCGTGTATTATTTGCGATGGCTTCGGGACGAAGGCGCTCAGACACACGGGCAACGGCAATACCTGCAAGTTCTTCTACAGCCTCAAGGCCATCGAGGAAAAATCTATCCGGAAGGAATTTGGCCCAAGGCTTGAGTGTCGGAAAGACCCCTAGCGTTGCTGAAACCTCTCCCGAGTCGATGAAGAACCTGGATCGCCGGCGCATACGTTGGAGGGTCATCGGGAGACTTTCGAACTTCGGCAACATACCGACCCTTCTCTAGCATACCAAAAGGGGAGCCGAATGCCAAGTCGCCGATGATGTCAAATGCGACGTAGTTAAACCAGTGTAGAGCATCGATTGAAGCATATCCAGTCTTTGGGTTCCGCTGCATGTCAGAGATACGATTCCATTGCCGAACAAACTCTTTAAGGTTCGCATGAATGTATTGTTCAAATTTCCCGATAGACTTGGCACTAAATGTATGTGCAACTGTCTTGCGCTTCCGAGCGTGCTCTGCGCGATCGCGTGTGTTAAAAGAGGCCACGGCGGATAGATACGAATGCGTCATAATACTCACTGGCCCCCAGAGTGGTTAGCAATTGCATCCACTGCGTGATTCCACTCACAAACAAGCCCTAGAATTGGGTGGACTCCAGTACACGTCATGATCCTCAAAAGAATCTAACTAATCAAAGGACTCACGATTTCAGAAACCCATTCCCGTGCCCATAAATAATTGGTATAGCATCTGGATCGTCTACCGAGACATGATGTGGCTGTAACCTCACAAAAGTGCCATACTTCTTATGAGCACTGTCCACGGATCTATATCGTCTTCCTCGCCGGCATTGATACATAAGCCATAGATTTGAGAATGAGGCTCCAAAGGGGGCAGGGACATCATGGAGATACCATCGCTGCAGATACGGGACCAGATAATATAAAGCCAGAAAGTAGAGTAAAGTATAAGGACTTAAAAGGAAAGAGAGAATCATCTTCAGTTTGACAAAGAATACGAGAATAGCGGGCCCTAATAATTGAAGTTAAGTTATAACTCAAGGATACATGAGCAAAGAGGGTGTTTGATATAGCTCGAATGAGTCTATTCCAAATCGTTAGACATCTGTTGACCAGCTAAGGAGAGCGGCGGGCTTTAATACCAGCAAGCCGTATGTTGGCCGAGGGAGGAGATTACACGCAGCTCGTCAATGAGTCAGCGTCAAAAAGTAAAAATTGGCGACTGTGGTCGGACAGCTCTTGCCAGGAGCGAAAGTCGGCAAAACTAGCATGCGAAGCCTGGAAACCCTGAACATAGCGGTTCTCCTCAGTCGCCTTTTATTTGCTGATAACAGCACCGAGCTTCATTTCCCCGCGACTTTTTGGCAGGTCGACGGACTGGCACGTGATTTGGCGCGATTTTTGGCCACACCAGTCGGGCGAGTTTAAGACACAAAATATCGTCGTTAAAATTTACTATACAATTGGTGAAGGCACGCATCTCAACACCATTGGCTGCCTGCTTTTTCAGGAATCTTCCAAGAATCGACACCAATTACCGATACGGTACAGGTATGTATGTATGTACATGTATGTGCATGTACATTACATATCGCCTTCGGGTTCCATGAGCTTACCATCGAGTTGCCTCATTATCCACCTTAAACAACCCGTTCTTCCTTTTCTCAGCCTCCCACTTTTCCACCCATAGCTTCATTTTTTCTCGGCTCCTTTTGCTCCCGACATTAACTGTGGGAATGACTTTTGCGATCCGCAGAGCACAGCAAAACATTGTCAATTCCCTAAAAGAGCTATGTTCACTGTACGGAACTGAGTAGCAGGTGCTTTGGCGGTTGCTTCCACGTTGAGGAAGGAGGTCTTTAGTGCCAAATCGAGGCTTCCAGGAATCAGAGTATAAGATCGAAGATACCGGGGGACTGTCTGTCATCCTTCCTGCGGGTGGCCGATAGTTCCAACCGGTGGGACGGAATCCAACAACTCGAGAAAAGTGTGGTTTGAGAGAATTGAGATAGTCGAGAAGTGTTTCCGCGCGTACTTCCATAAGGGTCTGCATATGGACTTGGGCTTCTATAGGGTTGTTCGTAAGAAGTCTGGAAAGTTCGGCATCTTCTAAGCACGCGCATATCCGTTGTTTTGCCGCCGGGGCATATATTTTGCAATTCAAGGCCCGTGCAATTGCCATACATAGCCGCTCCTTGCCGATGCTGTAAGTTCCAATTACAACAAGTAAACGACCTCGAGACTTCGAGTTTGCGTCCCGTAACCGAGTCGGTGCTTGTGGGGCGTTGAACCCGAGATCCATCACGGTTTTCACGGTAGTCGTTGTTGGGCCGCGTGTTGTATCATCCGAGTCACCATGTTGGGTGGGATCTAAGTCTGCACACACTGCTGCACATGCTGCGACAACATCGTCCTGGTTGGGGAACGCATATTTGGGATTCAGATATGTTGTATCAAGGTAGCAGACATCGATTAATTGTTGCTTGACTTTCCCAGTCAACGAATCGACAACGTCTGGGCGCAGAAGCGGATGCTGAACATGGGCCGGACATGCCCTGAAATCGCCGCAATGAAGTATGCGATGAACTCTTGGTTTCGGACCCGTGTTAATTTGCTTTTCAAATAAAAATATAGAGCTTCCGGGGCAGTGGTTCGCAGGCAACATGGTGACCCAGGCACCATTTGTCTGTGGGATTTCAAATGTCTTGTCGAAATCGATGTCTGTAATCCACTTTGGGTCTACCTTGAGCTGCTGCCGCACTAAATTGCCCGTGACTGTGCTGCAATAAATTTGACCATGACACCAAGAAGACGTAAGGCCAATATAATGGTCGCTGTGAAAATGACTCAGGAAATATGCACGGCAACCCTCGACAGCACCGTATCTAAAGGCATCAACGCAAATGGAAAATCCAGGGAGGATTTTGTAAAACGGGCATGTGCGTTCAAAAGCCTGTTTACCTCTTGATGCCTCTTCTTTGGCAGCTGCCGCTGCCCATGCAGCATCTTCGGCGTTACCAGACATTATTTTGGAGAAAGCGGAAGATTCTTTCCCTTTCGACTCTACCGTGAAAGGGTTTCTCTGTCCCGGTCGAGGAATAACTGCTTTGTTCGTTCTCGCCATGGAGATATCTGACTTCGATTCGATAGTAGGTGTTCGTATCTCACTAGGTATCGTTGTTAGGTTCCCGTCTAGACAGCTATTCACATGGAGAGACACATCCTAGATATTTTAATTAGCGTTGAAGGTGTAAAATTAGCGAATCACGTACATCATCAGCAATACCAATAAGCCTCTCGCTGCAGATCGGGCAGACTACAGTTTCTTTATCATCAAAAAGCCCAGGAGCTTCTAGATCCGTCTTTTCTATCGACGTGGTCATACCTAAGCCCAGCAGTTGTTCATCATACTTTTTCAAAGGTCGTTCATGTAGACCTTCCACCTCTCGCAGTTCACTAGTGTCACTACCTTTATAGTTAGGTAAAAAGTCGCTAGCGGTAGCAAAATCGACTCCTATCATCGTAGAGTTAGGATCACATTCATCATTTGATGAATCTTTTGCTGCGTTGCCATCGTACTCAATTTCCCTCACTAGAGTCTTTGTTCTGGATACTGCACAAACATTTTTTTTGTTGTATTCACAAATATATTCCTGCTCACTATCTGACTCATCCAAGAATGGACCGATGCGAGGAGTTCTGGATGCTGAAGTCGCGGATGAGCCTCCTGCGTCGTTATGAACAGCAGTGGTCCCGGCGTGATCCGTATTGCCCACCCTTTGTCTTTTTTGGCCAGTATTGTAATTTTCATTGTATCTATCCCCATCATCAAAGATTCTGGCTGTCTCCCAAAATCCCCTGGAAGGTGGGGAGGCCAACCTTGGGCTGTCCGAGCCTGGAAGATGTTCGATGTGGGGGCCGAGAATGTTCCCTTGCCCAACCTCTTCTCCAAAGAACAAACTCTCAGAGCCACCTATATCGGTTGCAGATGTAGATTTCTCTTCATTATTGTTTGATCTGACTATGTAGTTTGTTATGCGATTCTGTGACGCTTTTGGGGGAGTGTCTGATTTTTTGAAGAAATTTAGAATGGACGTGTTCCGTTTATCGCCGTTTCGCTTGGAGAATTGCTGTGTAGATTTCGAGGTTAGACGGCCACGATTCCCGTTAGCATTGAAATATGGAGAATTGGAAGTCATTGCTGGTATTTTGAGATGTTAGCCAGCGAGGCGCCAGGCGGTCGGTAACAACTCGCCGGGCTATTAATGGTTCTCGGAGAACGGAAGCGAGCGTAACTAGTTCAAGCGATGAAACGACAATATGAAGACGATAGCTATTTTCTCTTAGTCGAGCATCTGCATCGCCGTAAGGAGGTTTGCCTAGGTCGATATATTCCTCGAAACCTATTTAGCGTTGGTGTGACGCGAAGACACGTGACCGCGAGATGGTAACCTTATTGCCGCCTCGATAGAGTAAGTAGGTAGGTACGGAGTACATACATTACATATATCTATGGGTTACCTAGGTAGAGATTTACAGGCTGGACCTGCGGTTCTATCTGCATGTAAAATACATCCTACTGCTACCTATGTGCCACACTACCGAGTTAGATCGGCTGGAAGTTGTTGCGAAAGAAAGACGCTCAAAAACGCATCAGATATTTTTGGATATCATATCTTTATTATTGTGCTTTGCAAATGGTTACAATGCTACTACATATAAATAGAGAAATGAGATTCGTAGGGAATTCCCGGCCCAAATTTAACCCAGTAGGGTCAGCGATGGTTCAAACGCGCAGCTCTGCCTGGTTGAATATCCTTTTGAGGGTATATCTATCATCTTGCACACTTTTAATCCTCAGTGCGTACATGGATCCGGAATGGGCACCCACGCCTTTCTCACACCGGGGGACTCCCAGAGCCAATTTCTTCCCATTCATAATATCGTTTCACCGCAACATAATATGTATTTAAAAATCACCGAGCTTTGTTTGCTTGATTCGCAGCTTCTAAAAAGAGGATAGATGTTAGCCGTAGGTTTTTCTCTCCTGGTACATCCTAAAGCCAGGATGATCCCAGCCATGGTATGTAAAGTTCCACGAAGTAAAAGGAAATCGTACCTCTCCTTGTTGCATCCTCCAACAATCCCCGGTCTACCTCCGCCTGCGGCAAGACAATATATCGGACCACGCTGCCTCTAACGAAAATATTCTTCACGCTAGAGAGATGCGGGTATTGATCCAGGTCAAGAACCTCAATGTCGTCCAGCTTGATATTGAGGTATTGGTCAACGCTTTTGAGAGTACCACGTATACGGATATCATTCTTGAGCTCAATTGTGACTGTGTGGTTTGTAAGTGTCTTGAAGAAACTATTCGCAAAGAAGTGGTGAGCAAAAAATGGTTAGCGGAGGAGCTGCGGGATCGGTTTGGCAGAGAGAGCTTCCAAACCTGAAGAAGAGCATCGTTGCAACCTTAGGCGGGGAAAAATGGAAATCACAGGCCTTTAAAAAGCCAGGAAAATAGTAACGGGCGGGCTAAAGCATTTATTGTATTCAAACCAAGAGAATCAGGAGGTCGCGCACAGGTGGGTGGCATGCGTCGAGCGCTCACTCTCGCGGCAGCCAGGATGAAATCATCTGGGTCACGTGAAAACATGCTTTGTTGGAGCTACTACTACACGGGAAGAACGGAGGGTTAATTTACAGTGATTAAATACTGTTGGCCGTTACGGCCGTTGCGGTTAGCGATCCCACTAGATCACGTGACCCACCACTATATTATGTTCTTGTAGATAGATCTATCAATACAACCTTTAACTATTCTACAGATTATAGCCTGGATGACATGTTTTTCTTTTTAAAACATTACATCAACATTTTTAACACAGATAGTTCATCTTTTTTGAAAAGACTCTTACTCTTTATTAGAGATATTTCATTTTCTCTGAATCTGCTGATCAGTAGATTTATATACTTTATATTTTTAAGAAAGCATATTCTTCATTATGAAGAATATCACTTTTTTTTTTTTTATATCTAGAAGAAGCAGAGCTATCTTAATATGAGTAATACATCTGTTACTTCAGAGTTCAGCTTAAGACTTAGAATTATATACTTCACTAGACAACTTATTGATAGAATAATCACTTATTATAAGAAGACTTCTGACTTGTAAGATAAGACTAAGATCAGTTTTTATCAGAGTATGAAATTTAATAATAAGATAACAGAGAAACTTCAGAATAAAGAAAAGTAGAGTTAATATTCATCTATAGAATCTATTCATTTTAACTTATTAAATTCTTTATCATTTCTCATCTCTGAAATGCTAACTTTTAATAATGATTTAAATCAATCTATCTATTATATCACAGACAATCTTATGAATCTTATATAGATAATACTACAGAATTAAATAACTACAGTTAAAATTACTTAACATCTCACTATATCTATCTCTGTATAAAGAGACACTATAAGAAATGAGTTATAGAAATATCAGAAGAAAGTTAAATATATACTAGATATTAAATCAGTAATCATATTTGATGACTCTAATTATAAAGTCTGATATATTAATATATTAACTGATGCAGAAGTTATTAATAAAACTGACATTCTATTAAGAACTTAATAAGAATCTTCTTTTACACATTATATTAACTCTGAGAAGGGAAGAATTCATTTCAAGTCTTTATATAAATGTATGCTATTGAGTCTTATTAAAAATATTCAAATTACTATTGAAATCTTAAAAGCTGATAATACTGTAGCTCTGTGAGATAAGATTAATATTAAATATATAATATTACTGACTGAAGAACAAGTTAATATCTTTAAGAAATTGATAAAATTATAAGTTAAGAAGAATGATTATCTTACTTTTCAGAGATATTTTCACTATCTTATTACTCATTATAAGAAGCTCTGTTAGAGTACTGAGAATGTATATCATGATCTTTTTCTCAACAATCTACAAGATTATCAAAGACTGTTCATCAAGACATGTTTAAATGAGTTTTTCTTCACTAATCAGAGACTCATTGTCAATATTGATATCAATGATTTAATAAAGTAACTAATCAATCATATATTTAAGAAGATCATTATCAAGTGAAAAAAATAGTCTCAGACTGATTCTGTGACTGTGAAAAAGAATAAGAATAAAGATAAGAACAAAGATAAGAATAAAAGTATATCTGTATGAAAGTGCACTCACTGCAGAAGACATGAATATACTGTTGACAGATGTTTCATCTTACACTCTGATAAAAAGAAAAAGAAGAATGATAAGAAAAAAGAGAAGAAGAATGACTTGATAAGTTCTTAATTAACAGTAAATACAGTAATTACAAAGATTGAGTTCTATTTCTCTTTCACAGTCACTGAAAAATCATTCTCTAGGTCTTGATATTTAGATACATGTACAAGCCTGAATATAACAGATAAGCTTTATTCTTTTTCAAATATTAAATCTTTTAATGATAATATCTCTGTTGATTCTGTGACTGAGAAAACTAAGTTTATCAAGAAGATTGAAACTGTTATCTTGAAGATTGAGAACAGTGATGTTAACTTATAGAATGTTCACTATATTTCTAATATTACAGTTAATCTGCTCTTATTTACAACACTTAAAGATCAGAGATTTCAATTTACAATGTCTTTCACTATTCTCTCATTTTTCATTTACAGAGCTCTGAACAGTATTATTTTTCACATACTTCAGACTGCTCAGAACAATATATATAAGATTAATGAACAGAAGTTCAATGAGAATCTCAATTATCTGAACAAGGCAGTCAAGTATATTACAATGTCACATAAGTACAATTTTGACTGAAAAGTTGATCTTTCTGTGACTGCTGTCACTACTGTTAATAACATCAATTCTGCAGATATGAAATCACAGATATTAAAGATATTAAAGACTCTTTTGAATTGATATTACAATCTCAGTCACATTCACACTAATACTATAATTACTATAGTCAAGAATTCTCATACTGAAGTCATAATTAAAGATTCTAAGACTAAGTTCTTTTACAAGAAATGTGTTAAGACAGATATGATATGAGATTATTCAAAAACACTGATATCTAGATCTATTCAACTCATTGAGAAGATTCATATTAATTTTGCAGATGATAAACATACATTGAAAGATCTCTCTGATCATCTCTTAGAGTTCTGTTAGAGAATTAAATACTGAATGCTTATTATCTGTGATGTGACTCACTATCATTGAGTATATTTTTTAAAGTTTAAGAATGAGACTGTTTAATTCTTTGAGTTGTGACTCAGATTCATAAGTAA